AATGGTGAATTTATTACAATAATACAATAAACACTGCTATTTAATTCGTATGAACGTAAAAAGCAGTAAACAAGTTTTTTCTTTTTTTTTTTACATACAACATCGATATCTCTTACAATTAAATGATCGGCGCATTAGTCAAACAATAAGTTCAAACTATTACGTTAGACTTGTATTTTCTTAGCATTTAACGTCAAAGAGGCAAAATCTAAATTTAAACAAAGCAAAAATCTGGAAGATATGCAAGAGGCATTTACAAAAATTACAGAAGTTATATATATATATGTAGGACATTTCTTAGAAATTCATCCTCATAAAATCTTTTAGACATTTATGACATCTAAGAAAAACCTTTACATAAAAAACTGACAGTTATTTATGGAAAATTCTTATTTGTAAAAATACATTTTATTATCTATATTGGATCAAAAACTATAATTATATAATTTATTGTCTACATTACGTCGAAAAACGTTAATAATTTTAGTATTACATACAAATTAAAATTTTTACGTAACATTAAGTCTAGTTCGAGAGGCTTAGTCCGATTCAATATGGCGAATTATGTCGACTGATTCACCATTACGTCAATTATACTTTGCTAAAATCATATAACTTCTTATAATATCAAGGGATAAAAGTAAACGTGCTTTAGTTCACACATCACTACGAACTTTTAACGAATCAAATTTTTAAAAAGAGCGGATGAACAAACGAATTTTAAGCCAAAGTCCAAGGACTAATAGTTAATCTTGTATCCTCCTCCTCTTAACTTTTAAGAGGGACAAAATAGTGAGAAATTCGTTAATAAAATTAAATCTGGTATTCGATGCCAACTGCTTCATCCTATCAAATAGAATTTATAAGTATAATGCTTGAGAATAACAATAAGGGAAAAGAGAGTTTCCAAGGTATCTCAAAATTATTACGTAGAGGCAATTATAAAGAATACAATACTCAAACTGTACACGTCATTTTCAATTCATGATAAATTTTTTTTAGTTGATAAATCTCTTTTCATGCAAACTTTTCGTTCCCTCGAAATACACTTGATTGCATTTTACAGGAAATTATACGTACTATTTTATGCATTATAAAGATTATGTTTACCGAAGATTTGCTTGTTAACACAAAATCATTTCTATTAATGACAAATTAAACAAAAAGTAGACTTGTACATATAAATAAAACGCAAAAAATACGATTCTTGTGAAATCCGAATGGAAAAACGCACTCTCGAGAAAAAAGCTTATCAACAACTTCTATCAAAGTTTCCTCCACTTTATACATACTATGCAAGTCTGAGTTTAGATATAAAAAGTTAGAATGAATGAGAATATTAATTTCTGCATGCACCGATATGTATTCTTAAGATATGATCTTTGGTTTCGGTCTTTTTCATTATGCGTCAATATTAATTATTATACATTATTTAGTAATTACTGCTTTATATTATCTCTTCATTTTTATATCTTATTTGTTACATTCCTGTTTCTTTAACAATTACTGAATTTCTTGTTAACATCATGTGATATAATTATTTATTGCTATAAAATTATTTATAATAATACTGTCCAAAGTACTAGACGATTAGCAGAAAGAAGACGAACAGCATTGCTTTTTATATTTCCTCTGAAGTCAATGTCTGTTTACAAAAAATATAGAGAACATTATATCATAATTTAAACAATTTTACGAATATTTTTGACAATATCTTTAATAATCTTTTTATTACAATATGTTATCAATCAAATTAAAATTCTATTGCAATTAATTTTATTTTAAATTGGACAACATTGCAATATTTATTTTTATTTCTAAAATATAATTTTCAAAAAAAGAAACTAATTTATCTTCAACAATTTGTCGAAAACTATTCGCATTTCGAAATTTTGATTAATAAAAAAGTAACTTTGAATTTAATTAATAAAAAATAATCTTACATATCTCTCTCTCTCTCTCCCTCTCTCTACTTTTTGTTGATGTGGGAAGGTCTCGTTAGCGCGCAATGCGATAGAACACATCCACTCACATCGTCCGATGCCTAGTAACTTTTCACTGCTTTACCAATAAGAATATTTTATTTTAAATTGGCAATTAGTGATGTGAGCTATCGAAACCCTCCCATTGATATTTTGATGAGATACGCTCTTTATTATATTACTAATAAAGTTGGGGACCTACGCCACCCTATCCCACCCATTATCGTTCTTTGTCACTTACGGGCAACTTGGTGTCACCTGGCGCAACTTCCCACCTATTAAGACGCCTTACCTGGACTTAGAGGACTCTATGCGAAATCCACTTACAATCTAATCAAGAAAGATTACCCCATTTTTGCACAACGTGTCTCTGACATATTACACACCTTGCTTAGACCTAACCACCTCGTATGGCATGAATTACATGCATATATGTACACGTATGCTCACGGTATGCGCTTGGACAGAAGTAGCGCCGAGATATTCTTAAACTGTTGAGACTGTTGGTGGATGATAAAGACGACTACGACTATCCGATCTTCACAATCAGAATACCATCTCACGATTTAACGATTGTGAAACACGTGTAGATCGTGGGCAGGGCCATATGCAAGAATGATTCGATCTCGCCGTACGATTTGAACGAACCGATGAAATTTTTCATCACGGTACATAAGCATACAAAAAAATGATATTGGACTCCGACAAACAAACGATCATTCAATGATGAACTGTTTAATAGTATCTTCAACAATAATTGTGAAAGAGTCTTCCAACTAGAAACCTTCCTCCATTTTCAAGAGTGACGGATCACTCGGAAATTATTGTGCCGAGAGCAATTGAGGCACAACGCTTAAAGTAACGCCATGTTTCACAATACCATGACGATGTTCGCGAAGATCATGCGACAATATAAGTGTACTTACTCGTACACGATACGGAGGTCTTCGTGAACACGCTAATGGCTTTCATGATCAACGAAATTCGAATATATTCATGTAGAATGATAGATAACAAATCTTTTATTACGCATGGCTGACACTCAAATCAACAATTTCTGGATGTGCGACAAGTCTGCGACATATTAAAAAAAATTCGACGAAATAAGCGCAACGAGAGGGTCAGTCAATGGGATCATCGGCTTAGCCGGTCATGTGGCCAGGACTGCGCGTATTCGTCGCGTCCACGTCATTAATCCTGGATATAAGCACCAAGAGCAGGACACACGCATATATATATATATATATATATACAGTAAAAAAATTTGTGTATTTGTGTTGGAAATGGTCTACTCACGTTTGTTTTAACAGTTTGTGTTGAATTTTTTAACATATTCGAGTATTAATTTAACATAATATAATTATGTTATTTAAAGATTTTTTGTGAAATTGATATTCAATGTTTCTTAGTGTCAAAATGACACAATTTATGAGTAAGTGAACGAGTAACATAATGTCTTTTAAAACGTAAATTCTAAGACAAATGAATAAAATACGTGAGAACAAATGAATGAAATATAGTATGTATTAATTTAACATGTCATAAATATTAATTTTCTGAAAAAAAAATGTTCCCACAGTTTGTCTCGTCGCATTGTCTCTAATTTCATTATTTCTGACTGAGAATTCGATAACATAACTTAAGAAAACATGCATTGATTATCTTTTTGGACATTTCAACTGCCAGCAAGACACAAATACCGATACCAGCTTTCAATAATCATGCGTCGATTATTGTTAGCGTTTCAAACAATTAGAGAGAGGGAAGTATTTTTATAATTTGTATAATTTTTCTTTATTCTACTCGATTCTTCATGTAATTTTTTATTATATTTATTTTACCATACTGACTAATTTATATAAACATTGATAATGATCTGATCGCGATCGAAACGTTTGTTTTTCTATTAAAGTTTATAATATTTTTAACTTAATGATATAATTGTTTATTTTTCACTTTTGAATTATAACGATTGATTTTTGGCTCGTAACCCTTTTTTTCTATTGCGTTATTAAAAATTTGTACCAAGATTTAGTGGCCCGTTTTTTTTGCTGGTGAATATATTATAAAATAATAAAAAATAATTTTATTTGTAAAATGTTTAAATGTTTAAATAATTTTTTTGTAACTTAATTAAAATGAGCCATAGACCAATATTTACATAATGCCAATTTTCAATATAGAAAGAACAATGTTAAAATATTTAAAAATTTATCTAAATACACAGATCTGAAAATAATTTTGTTAGATCATCAAACTAATTCTGTAGAAAATTCAATAATGTTGCAAAAGATTTTTATATTCTAGCAACCAGCTTGAGCGTCCTACATAATTATTTTAATAGTCCAACAAAATTTTTTTCAGATTTGTAAACTTAATTTTTAAATACTTTTAGCAAAGCCATTCTTTCCTTAAAGAGAAAGTAAAATTTACTAGATGCATCCACATTTTTGCACGTAACGTTTTTCTTTTCCTTTCGTTGAAAACTATAAAAGTATGATCATCCATAAACAAAGATAATATATATGAGAGAAAATACGAGGTCATTTGAAAGAGACAATTACCAAAAATGTGTATGAGAGAAGTTGCGATACCGTCGATACTTACACTTCTCAATATCCTCGATCTTCACTGGAGGCACAGCGGAGTTTCAAACGGCACGTGACCTTGGCCGAAGGATCTTACGCCCGTGGTCCGTCACCGTCGAGAAGACACCTTTCCACTTCCCCTCGGACGGCCATCTGAGTGAAGCGACCTTGACTGAGCGCGGCGCGGGGTTCGCAGACGATCACCTAAGGCCCAGTGGTGCAGCCCCTCTCACGCGCGTGCTTGGACCCCACTTGGGTTAGCCAATACTTAAACTACGGGCCTACCGCGCCGCGGACTATTCTTGCAGCATCGGCCGTTGGACCCGTAAGCTCACGTACGCCCGCCTTGATCGCACGCGCGTACACACGCGTGGTATACATCGGATACGCGCGGGATATC